AAAACATGGGAGAGCACCCGGCCTCCGCCGCCACCCTGCAGGCGCTGTGCTCCTCCCATGCCAGCCCGCCCTGTGCTGGGTTACAGATGTGCAGGGAGCTCCGGCCTTTGTACATGCACAGGAAGCCATCTCCCCAGTCCAACAGCTCTCGTTTAAATGAGCCATGTACTTATATACCCAATCCTGCTAGTGCCACAAGCAGGAAAGGTTGACTGCAGACAAGCACAAGTTCTTCAGTGCTAGACCAACAAGTTCAGAGTTTAGCCTGCTAGCAGTAAAACTGAGTTGGATTTTAGGCTTAAATTTGGGGAAGACAGAGCAATCTTAAGAAGATCCCGTGTGGTGGTGCATGTCTTCAATTAACCCAGTCATGGCTACAGTAAGAGCTTGTCTCAAAAGGACAGAGAAGGCCTGGCATGGCAGTGCATGCCTTTAATTCCAAGTAGTCTCTCAATTACCTCCTATGAAAAACCGGTTAAGAGTGTCTACTTTAAATTAGTGCTACTAAGTGAGATTACATATACAGATATAAAAACTAGCAGTTGGCAAATAATAAACATTAAAAAAAACTGTTAAGAGTAAGTAAGGAAACATGGAAGGGTTGGAGGGAGGACAAGGAAGAGGAAATGATGTAATTATATTTTAATTAAAATATTTTAATAAAATGTTATAGTAGTTGTAGTTTTTTCTTTTTTCTTTGAAAGGGGGAACAATGATAACTGAACCCAGGACCTGGGACAGACAAATGCTCTGCCAGAGAGTTACAGACCCAGTTCTTCCTCCCTCCCTCCCTCCCTCCCTCCCTCCCTCCCTCCCTCCCTCCCTCCCTCCCTCCCTCCCTCCCTTCCTTCCTCCCTTTCCCTCTCTCTTTCCTTTCTTCCTACCCTGCTCTTTCAGATCGAAAAGCCTTATCATACTAGGTTTCATGAAGCCACCCTTGTTTAGACAGTATCACTTTATCACAAAGGCTGTTCTCAAATTCACAGGTTCCACTGATTCTCCTGCCTCGGCCACACAAGTGGCTGGGACTAAAGGAGTGTACTTCCAAGCCTGGCTTAATATTTTAATGCCTTACAAATTAATTTTTATGACTTAAAAGCTATAGGGGCACTGATTTCCTTGAATCATTTCACTTAGGTAATACTTTGTCTTTTATACTTTATTATTAGCAGCTCCAGAAAAAAGTTATGGAGTGGGAAGAGTTTCAGCCACCTCTCTTCATTTTTCTGCTATTTATCCGCTGCCTCTTTTCTTGGGAGGGACCCCCTCCCTGCAGCTCCTGGCCTGGACATTTTTCTCTGTCCTTGTTTCTTTTTCTGATCTCTCAGATATGAAATCTCCTTGCCCTATTTCACTCTCCGTGGTTTCAGTGCCCAATGCTAATCTGACACCTTCACGGATGAGTACTTAGAAGTGGATTAAATGTGCTGATCATCTGAGGTATTCACAGCTTGGAAACAAGGGGTCCCGAATGGGCATGGCCTTAAAAGCTGGTCACTTAGAAACTGCTCTAAAGGAACAGATATAGAGGGCTGGAAGCATAACTCCCCATGCCCTCTCCACCTCCACTTAAACCACACACTGCACATTCCTGTAAACCTTCATCGAAACAAAGCTTCCTGCCTTCTAATAGGATTCAGGTTCCACGAGGGGATTATTTGCAGCCAGACTTCCCCACCAGTGCTTTTAACACACTAGGAGAGCATTCTACGATGAGCTACATTCCCCAACCCCAGAAGTCTCTCTGCCCTCTGCTGTAGTGTGATCCTGGTTGCTGTGAAGAGCACTCCAACTAAAAGCAACCTGGGAGGGCAGGTCACACTCCATCATTGAGGGAAGTCAGGGAAGGAACCTGAAGCAGAAACCATGGAGCAGCACTGCCTACTGGCTCCCTAACTCACAGGCTCACAGCCAGCTAGCTAGCTTTCCTATTAGCAGCCCAGGACCACTTGCCTAGGGATGGTGCTGCACACAGCGGTCTGGGCTCTCCTACAGCAATTCATTGACAAACCCTTCACATACATGCCCAGATCTAGGCAATTCCTCAATTGAGGTTTCTCCTTTCAGATGACTCCAAGCTGAACCAAACTGACAATTAGAGCTATGTATTCGCTATACACCAAAGTACCGATACAGGATTCTGCAGTCAATGAGTACTTGATGAATTAAAAAAAATGATTTATTAACCATTAATCTATTTGTTATAGAGAATGGACCGTCACAAAAGCCTTCTTGTCAACCAGTATATGAATGACCAAATCTTGACTTCCTCAAGGTAACTCACTTCTCACTAAGATTTAGTCATTATGACAGCAAAATCATTATTCTGTCTTACACAGCACAAACCAAGACATTTTGTTTGCTGTGAGGTGTTCAGGCATCACTCTCCCTGTGACCCAATAGACACCAGGGATCATTGAGAATTGTAAGGCCACCTTTAAGGATAGGCCCTAGACACTGGCAGGACCTGCTCGTGGCTAGTGGTAACAGCTTCCTCACAAAAGAAACGGGAGCTTAGGATAATTCAGAAGAAAGAGCATGCAGTCACCCAAAAACTGCATTAAGCGTGTTCTACAATAAGGTCACTGTCCCTTCCCCAGGACACACTGGCCCCCTAATCTGAAAGAGGAGGGTTCCTCATCCCCCATCCTTCCTTCTTAAGTTCTCTCCAGAAAAAACTGTGAGGATACACTGAGCTCCCCTCTCATCCTGCCTCTGAGAAGCAGCAACGAGCTTTCAGACCCTGCTGCTGCACACTGACCGATGGCTCCAGGGATAGCTGCTTTAAGGTTTTAGTTTTAGGCAATGTGATTTGGGAAGGACACTAGAGCCACAGCTGTTTCTCAGTGGCCCTAAAAAGAAAACTTACTACAAGACTTTCTGCTACTTGACTGACAAATGGACTTCTCAGTGTGGCACTAAATTTCCCCCTTGCACATGTCCACTTCTAGGGGGCAATCTGAGGGGGCTGTGCAGTACTTCAGGATTAAGGTGAAGAGTGGCTACAGATACCACAGCCACCAATATTTAATGTTTACCACTATGTATTGTATTCTTTTAGTGGGAGGTACATCCAAGGGTAGGAACTATTTTATGACTCCTACAAACAGGGCTTCTGGAGTTTTAACCATTACACTAGAAAATCTCCTGTCATGAGTCAAGACTTACTATGGACCGGCTAACACTGAGAGAGAATGAGTTTCCTATCTGTAGGATTAATACCTACCTACCCTTTCTTCTACTTGAGAAAAATCTGTGGACTTAACTTTTTTCTTCTCACAGTTACATTTCCATGCGATGCTTTTTCTCCAGCTAATGTGAATCAACAGTTATACATTTAACCACAAATGTGAAACTCAAATCTACTCACCTCTATCCCCATTATTTCCTTTTGTGTCTTCAATTGAATCTAAACAATCAATAAGGACTTCTCCAGGTCTTGTTTTCATCTGCCTAAAATAAGTATAAGACTGTGAGGGTTATAACTTCCACTCTATCTGCTACCAATCTACTTAGGGAAGAGAGGCATAAGAATAGAGCAGACAACAGCGAAGAGTATACAGCACTCAGTGCTTGTGCAGTTGACCCCGGGGGTCAGCGAGGCCTGGGCTCACCAGGGCCACTTGGGAATCAGCTAGATCCAGAGGTGGGGTCTTGGATAATTACAAGAAAAAGAGCAGAGGATGCACGACTGAAAAACAGGAACAAGAAAGTTAAGAGGGATGCTGGGAGAAAGGGAACTGAGTATTGGGAGAAGTGTAGCTGAGTGACTCAGGAGACAAGCTATTGAAGAATCTGCAGCTCCACGATGATAGGCCTGATTCTGTGGACAATAGACCAGCCCCAAGAGGTTTCTAAGTAGAGAAAGGACATCAGGCAGTTATGGGAAGGAATGATGCTTAAAACTTGTATGAGAAGTATCCTCAGGGGGCCAGAGTTATGTTTCAGCAAGTAACTGTAGCTGTCACCAAGACTGATGACCTCGTTTGATCCCTAGGGCCCTAACAAAGGAGAGAAGTGGCTTCTGCAAGGTGACTTCTGACCAACACTCTTGCATCTTGCACACAGAAAGAACTCTTACTGAGCTATCTTGCAGACCCTTTTGCTCACTTGTATTTACACAGCCGCCCAAGTAAATCTCCTGCACTAGAATGAGGGAGTATGGTTAGAATTTCTTCTTTTTTTTTTTTTTTTTTTTTTTTTACTTTTTTGTCTCTATCAGCAAAGTAACCAGCATGTGATAAGTGTCTGGTAAACTGAAAATGTTCATTGGAAACTGGAGTTTTGTTTGGATTAAGAGACACCCCGCACCCCCAACCCACACGAAATATAGAAAATCCCTAAAAAGTGTGTAATGAGTTAATGCAGTTTGTAATTTTACAAATAACACTTCCCTTGACTTCCTAAAGTAACTAATACCGTGTTAGGCATCCAATTACCACAAAAGCTGAGAAATGTACCAATATGTCATTTTTCCATTTAAGGATGTACCATTAGGAAGTCGCTGGGGCGCCACAGTATTTATTGATCCAAGAACTTCAGCTTTCATATTTTCCGACATTTATTATCTCAGAGCCCCCCCCCGTCACCCCCAACTTCTGGGAAGGAAAGTTTTTTTTTTAAACCATCTTTTAAAGCATATTCCCCACAAACAGGGCTTCTGTTTAACAAGCACGGGACAAGGTTTGCATGGTGGGAAGTTTTGGAGAATTCTCACTCGCACCGCCCTCATTTTACAGTCATGCCAAGCGTTCAGAGGCAATGCTATTCCGGATTTTGTTCTAGAACCCTGCTTTCTGGAATCCCTGCCCTACGTTCGCTCCATCGCCGGACTCCGGGAGCCTTGATGGGCTCACACTCGGATTAGACAGCGCGCAGGGCAAGGCCAAGGGCCGCAGGGGCCGCAACCGCGGGGTCTCCCAGCGCGTCGCAGAGACTCACTGCGAGGACACATCGAAGCGCACGTCGCGGTCCTCCCACAGCACGTCCAGCACAGACATGGCGACCGAGGCACCCGGCCGACGCTGTCCACTGTGACGGCCCTGCGGCGTCTCGTGGGCTCCAGGGCAACGCGCCGGCTTCGTCACGATATCTACGGCGGGCGCCGAGGCCCAAGCTTCCGCCAGGTAGTGTACGCTCTTTCCCCTGCCGTTTTGCGTCACTGGGTTGGTTTGAGACGGGAGTTTGGGAGTGTGTTTGGCTTCTGTGCCATTTCTCTGGTCTCCGTGTAGATTTTTAGCCATTTCCGCCTTCCGGACGTTTTCTTACACCATCCAGAAATTTTAACTTCACCAAATTACGTTGCTGGTTTGGTGGGGCTCCGGCCCTACCCACGTCGCAGATCCTGGCGGTCCTGACTCTCTGGCTACATTCCAGCCCTAGGCTCAGAACCTGCAGAGAAGTCCCACTCTGTCTGGTATGGACCACTGCTTCCACAGACGTGTGCACCACAGCCCTTAAGTCTTATTTCACAAGTCAGCTCTGGAGTCCCTCTATTGTGAGCAAACAAAGGGCGAACGCTTTGAGCAATGCGCAACATAGAGTGAGCACGGGACAAACACCTTTTCTTGTCCTTTTCTTATTTTCTTTTTTTTGAGACGTAGGTCACTTTGTGACCCAGACTGACCTGGAAATTGGACAGCTTCAGCTTTCTTCATGCTGGGATTACAAACATACATCTTGCTCAGTTTCTTCATGCTGGTATTACAAACATACATCTTGCTCAGTTTATGAATATTTTTTTTAATGAATCAAAGTGCTTTCTTTCAGCGTGTGCCAATTCTTAATAAACAAATAAAATATTAAGTAAATTGCTGATTCACACAGAGTGGTCTGGTGTTTCCTGGGCATACTCAAGATCTTTTCATGGTCACACACATGTAATAATGTGAAAACATTTGCCTTTTAAACTCTAATTAGGCCATTCATGCACATTATGTATAGTGACATATGGAAGCTGATAGAGGATTCTAGCTGCTGTTGTTTTCTCCCAGAGAGAGTTTCACATTGTTTGCCAAACTGATTGGCCTGAAACTTATTATGGAGACCAGAGTGATTCTGGATTCACATCAGCCCTCCTGCCTTGACTCCAGAGTCCTGGAATTAGAGATGTGAGCCATTCTATTCCTTTCATGTACGGTGACATTTTGGTTGTAGGATTTATTACAACATTCAAATGTTGCTAACATTTTTAATCTTTCTGCCTTGTCCTCCTGAATATTGGGATTACCGTGTGAACCGCCATGGTCACCTTTTCAAAATTAAGAGGGTGGTATGTGTGTGTGTGGGGGTATGATATGGATATGATATTTTCTTATTTTGTAGTCAGGCAGTCCTTGTGGTCCTCATGTGTCTGCCTTCAATGTCCTGGAGTTACAGCCTTTTGCCACCATGCTGGCTGCAGCTGCCCAATTACTAAGCTAGACACGAAAAGGTTTTGTTAGAGGGGCTGGTTACATGACTCAGTGATTAAGAGCATTAGCTGCTCTTCCAGAGACACTGACTGGGTTTGGTTCCCAGCACCAACATGATAATTCACAATCGTCTGTAACTCCGGTTGCAGGGGATCTGGCGCCCTCTTATGAACACCACAGGCGCCAGGCACACACGTGGCACACACGCAAGCAAAACATTCATACTCATAAGATAAACATACTTTTTTTAAGTTTTGCAAGAATGTAGATCAATGTTATTCTCATAAATATTTTAGAGAATATAATTATAAAAGAAGTTATGGGTGTTGCTGAGAGTAGTGACACACACCTTTAATACCAGCAAATGGGAGGTAGAGACAGGCAGATCTTGGTGAGTGTAAGGATTCAGGCACTATGCTGGTCTGCTCCTGTCACTTGGCAAAATGCACTCAGGCAGTACCCTGGTCAGCCCAGGGCTCCATGGCTACATAGTCTGCATGCAGGTGCAAAGGACCCCTTTAATAGAAAGACCCCTCCCCTCTGCCCACTTACACTCTCTCTCCCATGCTGTTCCCCTGGGGCAGACAGGACTTTACCTGTCTCCCTCTTCTCTTTAGTCCTCCCTCTATCTCTGTGTCTCTTTGCCTTATTTTCTTACCTCCCCCTCAATAAAACTTTCAATATGGATCACGTCTACAGGTCTCTTGTTTCCCCAACCACCTGCTGTCCATCACCTGCCCGGAACCACCCGATCCTGACGGTCACCACTGCGCAGAACCAGGGAGCTTCCATCTGCAGTCTCAACCCACTTTACATTATTCCTAACAGTGAGTTCGAAGCTAATCTGGTCCATACATAGTGAATTCTAGGCCAGGCAGGGCTACCTAGTAGCGCTATTTCAGAATTTTTTCTTCTTTTTTCTCTGTTCAATAATGTGAGTCAATAATGATTGAAATATATTTTTCTAGTTTCATTGAAGTATAAATGGTATAAAAGAAATTAGAGATAATGTATACAATTTGGTGAGTTGGAACATATATGCACATATATGTTATCACCACAATCAAGATAATAAACAAATCAGTTGTCTCCAAATGTTTCTTTGTTTCACTTTGTGGGTTTTGTCTGCTTGATGAACGATACCCTCCACAACAACAAACTTTAGTCTTGCTGGCATTGAGCCCAGGGCTTTATACATGCTAGGTAAGCACTCTGTCAGTGTGCTACACTCCGGATCCATGCCTTCAACGAAGTCTGAGATGCTTAATATCCTATTGGTGGTGTGTTGCACAGCAGCTGTCTGGAGCACACTTAGACTGTTAGAAGTCTTTGATGTGTGTCTTAGCTACAATATATTCATTAACCTCTATGTGAAAACAACTAATAAATACATATCACAGATACCTCAATATTGCCTTAGTGCAAATTGTTTTAAAACTTAGAAGACTAGAAGTAGAGAGCATTTGCTTAGCATCACACTAGTTCACTCATACACACAGTGGTACTGATTTAAAAGGCTTCAAGCTTATGTAAAAATAGAATGAAATGTTACAGCTTATTTGACAAAGTTCTATGGGGTATGTTCCTGTGTATCATGGGGGCAGGATTACTTTTTGTTTGTTTACTTGAAACTCACAGATACCCATCTGCCCTGGCCTCCTGGAATCAAAGGTGAGTACCGCCACACATAGTAAATTATGATTTTTTTGTTTCACTATAAAAGGAATGTGCTGGAGTTGGAGAGACAGAGAGTGGTTAAGAGCTCTGGCTGCTCTTCCAGAGGACCGGAGTTCAATTCCCAGCAACCACATGGCGCTTCACAACCATTTGTAACTCCACTTCTAGGAGATCTGACACCCTGTCTTGGTCACCAAGAGCACCTGGCACACGTGAGGTACATAGACACACATCCACGCAAAACACTCATACACAGTAAGTAATAGTAATAAAAAAGGAAACAGAATGTGCTGCAGAATAAAACAGGAAAATCCGAGTCTCTGACTAAAGTCATCGGCAGTTGCTATACATCGAGAGGGTGAGATCGTGTTCAGGAACATGCTCTTGCCTGGGTGACTAACGGATACTTAGTCTAAGGGTGGTGATGGCTGCAGAGGTAGATCCTAGGTTTGTTGGGGACAATGAAAGATAAGGTAGAGAACTGAGGAGGGGGACTCCTCACCTCACGCTCTCCTCTCTAGATGCCTGTGTCTGACTGTAGCTGTTCTGACTGTGAGAGGAATCAAACCTCTTCTCTACCTAATGGCAGAAGCTCTGCTAACTTCCAATTTGATCCAGTTGGTAACAAGTCAATGAGTCTAATTCCATTTCCCATATTCAATTCTCTTTCTAAGCTTGCTTGCTTATTTGCTTTTTATTTATTTATTAACCACATTCTTGCTTTGTGAGGTTGGCACAGGGCTCATTAAGTAGGCCAGTGGTCAAACTCCTCATCTGCCCCAGGCTCTTAAACTCTGGGATTACCCATGTGTACATAACACCTAGCTTCTATCTTAGCCTTCATTCATTCATTCATTCATTCATTCATTCATTTTGAGATGGTTCTCTCCATGCAGCCTTGGCTGGCCTAGAGCTTACTACGTAGCCCAGTCTGGTTTTGAATTCATAGAGATCTACCTGTCTCTGCCCTACAAGTGCTGGGATTAAAGTTGTATGTCACCTCCTTTCCTCTGACTTTAAAAGGTGGCCTTCCCTGTATTTATCTTTATCTTTGCTATTATCAAGCCAGATTATCCCAGAATTCCAGGCTTACATCTCCCTATCCATCAGTAGCCATACACTAAACCCATCATTCACAGGGCGTGCCCCAGCCTCCTCTTTTCCTCTTCTCTTTCTGGATACACCGTCTCTCATCTAAGATTGTCAAGTTGTATTCCTAAATTCATAGTTATAATGTTATGCCAATTGCCAGTTAGAAAACAGGCAGGTCATTCTGTGTTGACCTTCACTGACAAAGTGATGGGCAATTCTGGGGTAGCCACCCAACCAAAACTTTCAACATTTATTGTGGAACCATTGTGTTATGTAAGGGAGTGGTCTTAGCCTAAACCAATTTTCATTACTACTCCTGTGTATTTTCTGCCAAACAAAGGACAAGGAAAATACCTGTAATTATTTGTTCTCCATTCTTAATCATTTTTATGGGAACATTTTACATTCACATGTCAAGAAGAGATGCACTACTGTGGTGCCCAGTTATTTTGATAATGTTCCACTCATAATACATTGCAACAGACTTTGAAGGCTATTATTTTGTCTTGCAACATGATTTGTGTACTCAAATTGAGTCTTAGTGCTCAACGGGCTGATAAAAGTACAACTCCTCACAGCATTAAATGTAAACTTTGTGAATAGAATGCGTTTGATTGCTATTATGTTTTCATGCAAATCCAAAACACAGAAGCAATCTGATGATGCTAGAGCTATTTACAGCACATTAACCAGGTTAAGTTTTAGAATTAGGAGGCTCCGGAAAAAAGAAAGTCATTGTTTTCTTTAAAATTTGTTACCTACTGATTATACACAGCCGGCAAGACTACAAAATCCGTTTTTATAAACAGTGATAGCATCTGTGCCAGTAAAAACTTGAACGCTATGGAAAATTGCTTTCTAGAAGTATTTCAGGGATACTTGTATTGTGGAGAGGGGGAGCGAAAACAAAGGTAAAGGTGAGTCAAATAGCTTTGAGAGATGCTGAAGTAGAAAGGGGTTTGAATGAGACTTCTGACATTTTTTTTTTGGCTGGGGGCTTGCTATGTCGACCAATGGCATCGGGCTCTCTTAGACACAGACTGGGAGTCAGTGTTTTGTTTGTTATGTTTGGTTTTTGGCTTTTCAAGACAGGGTTTCTCTGTGTAAAAGACCTGGCTATCCTGGAACTCACTCTGTAGACCAGGCTGGCCTTAAACCCACAGAGATTCACCTGCCTTTGCCTCCCGAGTGTTGGGATTAAGGTGTGTCACCGTAGACCAGCTGAGCCAGTGGTTTTTAAAGCTTCCCAAGTGATTCTGATTCATGGCCAGAGTTGAGAACTTCTGGGAGAAGGAGAGAGATGTCTGGGTATTTTTAGCAGCAACAGAGAGTCCTAGTGCTTGGTCACAGTGTAGGTGCTGCAAGATGGGTATGGGGCTTGAAGATGAACTTCTGCTAATGGGGTCAACTCCATTAGCAGCCCCAAGAGCACAGGAAGCAGGGATCCGTTTATTCATTGATTATCAGTTCTCCTCCAAAGCAATTCCTGGGAGGCAAGCAAGAAATTACACAAATGTCAAGACACTATTTTTTACTAAGAAAATATAGAAGTTGTTTGCCCTCTGTTTGGGGGAGCAAATTTTCCTTTTCTCCCCTGGAATGTTTCTTGTAAGAAATGTAGGCAGGCTCGTGGTACCAAATGGAACTAGCACCGTTACAGGTGCGGCTGACCAGGCCCGGACCAAACAGTAATGAGAAGGCAGCATCCTCATCCAGCCATCAATCAGCCTGATTGCCAGAGAGCCTGGAAACACAGGCTCATTAGCTCTTCATTAATCTGTCTCTGTAAGGATGGGCCAGAGCTGAAGCAGGAAGGAAGTGCTCCCAGTATCCTTAAAGGCAGTGGAGAGCTTGTCATGCTTGGCGCACACACACCTGCACAAAGAGGCTGGAGGAAATGGTGTGCAGCGGACATGGATGGCTTGGTGTCTGGATCAGGTAGCACTACCAGTGTTCCCCCTTGCCAGACATTATTCTTTTTTTAAGATTTATTTATTTGTGTGTGTGTGTGTGTGTGTGTGTGTGTGTGTCTGAGCATGTTTGTGTATGTATCTGTGTATCCATGGAGGCCAGAAAAAGGCTTTGGACTCAGCAGACCTCGAGTTACAGACATTTGTAAGATATTATGTGGGTGCTGAGATCCAAACACCAGCCCTCATGATTAGACAGAAAGTACTCTTAACCACTGAGCCATCTCTCCAGCACCCTCTCAGAAACTAGTCTTCAAAATATAGATATTAGCCCATCATTGTGGTGCATTCCTTTAATCCCAGTAGAGGGAGGCAGGTGTCTATCAGTTCAAGGCCAGCCTGGTCTGTGATAGTGAGTTCCAGGACAGCCAGAGAAACATAATGAGTTCTCTCCCTGCAATATCCCTATAAAGACATATATGAATCTATGCATACATGTGTGTACATCATTGTACAAATGATGGGTTTATGGCAATTCCATACATGACTAGCATGAATTTTGCTCACAGTTACCTTTGCATTACCCTCTCTTATTTCTCTTCCCTCCCCTGTTGGTTCCCATTCTAATAGTTGCTCTTCTATTTCTATGGCTCCCCATATACATATATTATATAATATATATGTGTGTTTGTATGCCTGTGTGTGTGTGTGTGTGTGTGTGTAACACTATGAAGACATGTGTAGAAACCAGAAGTCAATCAATCTTGATGTCTACCTTTATTCTTCTGCATCTTGTTTTTCACTTTATCTCATTTTGAGACAAGGACTCATGTAATTCAACTCTCTATGTAGACCAAGCTGACCTCAGGCACACAGAGATAGACTCCCTTCAGCTTCCCAGGTACTTGAGTTAAAGGTATGTGTCTACCCTCTACCTTATGTTTTGAGACTGGGTATCTTACTGAGCCAAAGCTCACCAATAGGCTACACTGTCTGGCCAGTGAGCTCCGGGGATCCTCTGGTCTCTACCCTTGTTGTGAGCTAGGGTTATAGATACACACCACCATGCTTGGTCTTTTAACTCTTTTTAATGTGGGTACTAAGGATCCAAACTCAGGTCCTCATGCTGGCATGGCAGCTACATTACT